CTCAAACACGAACTGAGAATTGCTGGGCAGAAGGCCTAGCAGGAGGGCACGAGCTCGGATTCAGAAGTGCTGTACGGCGATAGCAGCGAGCCCTCCAGAGTATATTGCGTAAGGGGTTAGAAAACAATTGGCTGCAGGAGCCCCTATTCTACAAATCCTGCGAGTTGGCCTGGAATCACAGCGGGCGACGGCTCAGACGAGCTTCCAGGACCATACTTCACACTCCCACTCGAACACGGCGCTTCATCGCTCTGATGTAGTCCGTGATCGTCTAGCAGTATTAGCTGCAGTGCTAACACGCCTTCTATCCAACAGGGCAGCGCTTGCCCAGGCAATAGCCATTCTTCGCAGTGTAGCATTAACAGTAACGCATAACTCCACTGAATCACCAGTTATCTTCTCAATCTTCCAGTGGTGGCAGAACCTTCAGCATCTCGCGGCAACGTTCAAACTTCACACGACCAAGCGCTTTGGTCAATACGTCACCCACCATGTCGTTCGTCCCAACATGCTCCGTCTTCAGTAGCTTCTCCTCAACGAGATGACGGATAAGATGATACTTGTTCTCTATGTGCTTCGTCTTTGAGTGTGTCCCTGGCTTAGCCGATACGAAGATGCTTCCTCGATTGTCTCCAAACAGCACAGGTCCTTCAACTTCCTATTTCAACTCCACACACAGTCCTAACATCCACAGTAGGTCCATTGTCCCTTCATTCATCGCAACGTAATCCGCTTCGGTAGTACTTTGAGCATTGATCTCTTGCTTCCGGGAAGCACACGATACCACATTGCCATCGAGCATCGTCACATATCCACTCATCATTAGCGTAGTCCGCATCCGTAAAGCACGTCAGCTTCACTTTCGAACCATTAACAATGTCATTTACTAGCCCGTAGTTAACAGTATGTGCCAGGTATCGGAGCACGCGCTCGCCTTGAAGTAGTGCTCGTACGTGTAGTTACCGAGGTACTTGCCAAGGTTGCGAACGGCATGAGCAATGTCAGGTCTAAACGCCGAAACCAAATACTGTAGGGCTCCCACTAGGTCGCGGTACGGTAGATAGGTATGTTCAGTTGGCGCTCTCACTTGCTGCGGTGACTTTGCCTCTGGTGTCATGCAGCCGTTACACTCAGCCATGCTTAATCTCTTCAAAACGTCCTTTACGTACTGGCGCTGGCAGTACATCACCTGCTGCTGCACAGGGTTAATCATGATTTCGACTCCAATTAAGTACTTCACTGGTCCAAGCTCTGTCAGCTCAAACTGGCGGGAGAGCTGCTGTGCAACGCTGCGGCACAGAGCTGGTGGTCCAAGCAGCAATACGTCATCCAAATGCACCGTCATCAGCATTGAGATCTCTCTATTATCTCCCACTTTTCGCGCATACAGACCGTAATCAGAATCCAAAATCGAGAAACCATGCCACTGCAACGCTGCGTGCATGGTGCGGTTCCAAACGTTAGAGACTTGCCGTAGCCCGTAGAGACTTCGTAACAGTCGACACACAAACACGTCCGGCTCACGTTGAAACCCAGGAGGCTGCTCCATGAAGATTAGCTCGTCGAGATGTCCATACAGGAAAGCGGTCTTGACATCATACTGTAGGATCACCCAGCCGCGCTGGAGGGCGAAGTACATGGCCACACGAATCGTCTCAAACCGGATAACAGGTGCATACGTCTCAGTGTACTCTAGTCCATATAGTTGCTTAAACCCATGAATCACAAGTCGAACTTTGAAGCGTTTGATCTTGCCGTGTTCATCTCTCTTTACAGCATAGCCCCAGCGGCAAGTAATGGCTTTGCGTCCTCTCATAGCAGTACGGGGCTCAAGCGTCTCCGCTGCTGCATTCGCCGTATTTCTATGCTTCGTCTTATGAATTCTCAAGTGGTGAGTTGTACGAGTATAGACTTCTGGTTGTTCAAAGCAAGGTATGAATTAAGAGAAGAATATGATTTATGAGATCGCAAATACGGTACTGGTAAGTTTCCAGCTTATTTGTTGCTGCTGATAACCTTAACAAGGCTTGCTCATATATGGCCTGCACTATATTTATCAACTCATTGCACTCGGTAGACTAACACAAACTGCATCGCGTTGCTGCAAACAGTTTCAAACAGCATGTTCGTCCAGTCCATCTTGCTCCAAAGGCCACTTGCAGTACCATTACTGTCAGCAATCGCCCCGTGCCCTGAGTGATGTCGCGAGGGCACAGAGTGGAACTGCAACGTAGATGCACTGCTGTGCTTGGCTAAACCAAAAGAA